AATTGCACCTTTGAGGCTGCTCGAGTGTTCCCATGCCAGTGCTCTGACGGACAACGTTGAAGCTACAGCTCCTTACGCTGCATCGCACGCATTGCAGCCAGAATCCTCATCTCGCATGTTTATGAGGGGACTTGTAGGGCTGCTTTGGATTCATCGGTCCGCGCATGTGGTCAGGCTTGCGCTGGGCCGGAGCTCTTCAGTGCTTCAGCCTTGTAGAGGACTCATCTCCTTCACTCCGACGACAGATGTGAGGTACGCAAGCGTTGGCTGCCAATTTCTAGGTGCGGTGATGGAGCGTATGAGGTCAAGCAGTTGCCGCGCGACATTCTAGCTCGACTCTCACTTGCTCTCACGGCTTCACGTGGCGCATAGATGGTTCAAAAGCGGTGCTGCTTGAACGGGGATGTACGCGCGACATCACGGTTGTAAAAACATGCGAGCGGCGGACGCGCGGATCAATTCCACTGCGTAGGGCAAAGAGCGTGGATGCGTGAGGTGAACGTCAGGGATGAAGACGTTCTTACCTCCCTTGCATCGCTGTTGTGTCTTCTGGCTTCTGCCCTAACTTACGAGCGCATCGCAGTCGATGACTTCAACTTTCTCGCAAATGTTGGTTTCTGTTGTTATTTTATCATTTGTTTTTGTTGTGTTTGCTGCGAGGCTTTCGGACATCTATGACACCTTTTCGGAGGTGTTTTTCCCTCATTTGTGTTTTTGTTGGTTTTGGGCGTTGTTGGAGATCTGGGGTCAAGCGATGTTGGACGTGTGATGAACCATCTTGGTGTGTCTTTCAGGTTGATGATCTGCGTGTTCACCTTAGGCGATCTGTGGAATGACTTAACAAATGAGCTGTTTTGCTCCTGCCATTTGTTTTGTTCTTGATGATGGTTTTGGATGGTCGACGGTTTCATGGATGAAAATCACGGCGCGATCCAAGGCGTACGCGTCCATGAGTTTTTATGGCGCACGGGCAACCGTTCGAACTATCGCGCGTCGGCCGGTCGCATTATCACTTGTCTCTGGTGAGGCGAGCGTTGCTGCTCTTTTGTATTTTCCGATTGTTGGTGAGGTGGCGGGCGTCCCGTGGCTATGATTCCGTGGAAGAACCTCTAGTTTTACGCCCATGCGTGGACCCGTTCTCATCTAACGGTCAGTGAGCTCGCGTTGGTTGCCCTGTGGCTGATGTGTCCGATCATCTTATTGATGATCGTGGAGGCTCCAAAAGGAGATGTGGGCCAGGGTTTGGCTCGCACCATGTCTTCACCATGAATCCTGTTGCGAGATCTGATCAATACGTACTTCCAACTGAAAGGCGCAAGAAGCAAGTCTTATGGGTACTTCGGTCTCTTTTTGATGTTTGGTGTTGGACACCACACGGTTGTTGAACAGCCACAGTTGGAATTGGAAGGATAGGCTGAAGCAGGAGCCTATCTGGAGAACTGTTCGGAGAGCATCCAACAGGAAGGCAGCTCCCGATTCCAGAGGTTGAAGGAAAGAAAGCGCTCAAGCCCTTATGGTTGATGTCACTGAACTGTTCACTCATTGTCGTCATGCGTGAGAGCGGCGCTCCCTAGCGGTCTTGGTCGAGGACCCCTTGAAGCCAATTAGGCTGAGCCTAAGGATATGAATCAAAGGGCGAACTTTTTCGGCCATTTTAAGAGGGATGGAGTTCCCCAAGCGAAGCCCCATAAGAGTGAAAAGATCTACAGACACAGCATCACCCCAAAGGACTGTCCTTTGGACTGTGCTTCTCATGCGGATGTGGGCTGCAGCAAGCCGTTGTGAATCTGCCTTTTATGCGTCCTTGCTTGCGTGAGAAGCTTTGTGCAAGCCTGCCGGAGGCGACGCAGACTTTGCTGGATTGTTGTCAGGAAACGTGTTGGGTCCTATCGGCGAATCAGAGCCCGTGCGAGAGATACTCGCCTGCCCGTTTCAAGCGTGCCAGCGCGTAGGCGCGCGCAGACCAAGCCGAGTTGGAACAGGACACTTGTACTCGTGCTGCTGATGTTTGTGCAGCGTCAGGCTATGCTGCCGCAGTCCATGCACTTTTGCGTTGAAAGTGGATCTTTTGGGGTGCTTTGGGGGGTGGAGTGCTGCCCAACCCAAAAAGAAGGCCTTTCAACGCGCGCAGAAAGTTGCCCTGGGGACTGGAAAGGCGGTTTACAGGGCGAGCTGCATTCCCTCAAATCTTTGGCCGTGAGCGTTGCGGAGAAGAAGCTGCGCAGGGAACACTTATGCAAGGCCACACGCAACAGGTCTGCAACCCTTTCCTTGAAGGCACAAAGCACGTCTGGCCTGGTCTGGCAAATTAGGTTGACTTTGCTGTGCGTGGTGGGCCTTGCGAATTGTAGGCCAGGCAACGTGCAGCTGACCGGCGCATGCCTAAATCCGGTTGGGTGCACGACGGGAGCATTGGGTATGGGATGCGCCGACGCAGTAAATGTAGTCAAGCTGGGACCCTTCATTCTTCTGCATGAGGTGGAGGACCAAGGACCTTTGCGCGTCCAAGTGTTCACGGCATGTAGCCCAGACGGCAAGCCTTCACTAGTCCTTCTAGGGATTCCCGTGAGCCAACTTCGCATCCCAAAGCAACTCTCGTGCCTCCAACTCAGCAACATTGGCGGCGAGGGCACGGCTGCATTTTGAAGTTCCTTTTTGGAGGTGTTCCATGCAAATTGATACACTGCAAGGATATCAATGGGAGGGGTGACACCAACTCTTGAAGCCTGCCAGGGATAATGTCAGAGTACTTTACTTGAGGGGTTCCTTACCAAAGCATACTAACCATAAACACTGTTGCAGCACCACAGTTCATCGCTCATTTCAGAGGACGCGCTCCAGTGCGTCTCTTGCACATAGCAAATTTGCACGGCGCGGGGTTCGTCATTGAGCCACGCTTTGAGCTCAGTGTGCAACTGTAGCCCTGGCGCGCTGTGGCACCAGCAGCCCGCACCTATATCCAACCCCAGTTGGTAAGCGCAGAAGTTTCCCAGTGTCCCAGTTGACTTGCAGAATAGGTTGCTGTAACAGCGCCGCCATACCATCAGGATCATTTTGGAGCTGCGTGGACGGCCTCCAGCATAACCAATGCAAACCACCATACGGGCCGCGCGGCGTGTCGTCGTACAGGAAGGTCAGGTCGTCCTCAATTTGAAGCATGGATGTGCAGCGAGGATGACAGGAAGAAGACATCTGGGCGGGTGTGTTTGGAGGGACAAGACCAACCGCCCAAGACCAGCCTGCTGACGCCATCCCGTTGCCTGCAGCCAAGCTGGGCAATCCATAACTGCTGCGCCACCAGACACTTCCGAGGCCAAGGCAAGCGTGGCAAGAACTTCGGTTAGCCGAACAGAAGGCCACAGCCGTCGCCGTTTTCAGCAAAGGATCAGCGTTCCCACTCCACCGGATAATACTGCTGAGGATCCTCTCGTGTGAACTCTTCGCTGCTGCAAAAGCGCTTGACGCGTCGGCGTTGCATCGTGTCCGTAGTGGGGATGAATTCGTCGAGATACTCTGCAACAGCTTGCAGCGCAACATTTTCTTTGGCCGCCACGAGGATGTCCGCGTCCGTCATATAGAACGTGGCAGCAAGATGGAGCCCGCTCGAAGACGCCATTCATACCGACATCTGTGCGCCCCGTGCCGGTTTCTGCAACCAAGGCCAGCAAGAGCGCCGTGCCACGCCCGTCCTCATTGTCCAGTTCCGACCGCCGCTCCGGTCAGGAGGTCTTCAAGATCCTCGTCTCCTTCGCCCATTATTGCCCGAAACAGCCTCCAGACGAAGCGCCCAAAAGGGGCACATCTCACACTCCCCTACAACTGGGAGTTTGCCCATTATGGCCGGGTAAGTACGGCCGAGTAAGCATCTTCCATTCGAAGCCCCTGCCATAAACTTCTGCCCGCCCAACACACACGCTGGAGCGCTTGTCGCGGATGTCGATGGGGAGAGTAGCAGTCCAACATCCACGCAAAGAAGGCGTAGCCCCATAGCTCCCTGAGGCGTTCCTTCCACGGCGCGCCCTCGAATTGATTCCCCGAGCCGCGTTTCTTGGTAGCACTTTTGGGCTTGCTGTCAGTGCGCACATCATCGAGCAAGAGCAGTAACTTGAAATGGATTCCGTCTGCTAACCTGAGCCATAGAAGAACGAGTCGAAGACCAACAGCGCGTGCACCGCGAGGGTCTGACCTGCCTCTGGCACCCACCGCCTGCAAGAGATTGGTGCGGCCTCGCCGATGTTGCCAAGTTGGGCTGGCAAGGCGGACCTGTGCGCTTCGCAAGGCCGGGCGCGCAGTGGTGCGTTGCAATTCCTGCGCTCTGCCCTAGAGCGCTGGTAAGCAGTAGCCTCCTTCCAGAGGCTGAACAGCGCAATGCGTGCGCCCGGAGTGCGGCCAGCAATGTTCCATGCAACAAGCGTGCGCATTGCGAACTCGGATTAGTAAAGGGGGACCCCCCCCAACGATGGGGGTATCTAGAATAGTATCTTGAGATCCAGATGAAAAGTGAGTTTCCATTGGTGAGATTTGGAACTGAGTTTGCATTTGATTTAGTATTGCTGGAGATGCCTTTTGAAATTTGGAACTGAGCTCGCGTTTGATTTAGTATTGGTAGACTTGAGTTTCGATTTGATTTAGTATTGCTGGAGCTTCCTTTTGTTGTTCTTGGGGGGGGCCCGGCAACAAGACTTTATTTCGGGGGCCCCTGAAACCAATGTCAAGTTGGGGGCTGAAGTACTACCCCCTTTGTGGGTTTGAACAAGAGACATGTAAGAAAACATGGGTTTGGTAAAGCTGACAATTTGGGATTTAAGGAACAAGGTACCAAAGATCCAAGGACCGGGTGTTGGCTTGGCTATGTCTCCTCTCCTTTCTCTGGTTCTTTTCCTTTTTTTTTCGGGGGGACAGAATTCATAGACGAAGCCGCTGAGATTCTTTCGCGCCGGCAAAGACCAGGCCTCAGCAATGTAACCAAGTTCGGCTGAGCTTAAAGAGGAGACATCTGGGTGTCTTTAGCGGATGAGGCCAGAAAAGCACAAAGGCCACGCAGGACTGCTGGATTGTGCAGAGCGCGCCGAGCGCCAAGGAAGTCATGAGGTGTCCGATCAAAGCAAGTCCCATCCTGGAGCTCGAGCGCGTTGCGCCGACAGCTTTGTAGGCGTCAGGGACTTCAGCTGCGCCGAACACAAAGAGGGTCAGAAAATAGAGACGGCGCTTGGACGCTGCGGGCTGCCATATCTGAACGTCGGCAGTTCCTGCTCAGTTCTCACGCGAGGCACGTCTCGCCCATTGCGGAAGGTCAGCTGCGGATTGTTTCCTGCTCAAGGCGCGGCCCTTGTCGAAGACAAAATGGCTCTTTCATGGGAGCGTGTTCACGGAAAAAATCTATGGGAGGCTCCAACAAGCATGCGCTCTCTCGGAAGTCTGTGTTGCGTCTTTGCTCCGCCTTGCGAGCCGGAGTTTTCAACTTCTTTCCAGACCCCGGCACGAATGCCCCAAAAGCAGGTCCGGACAAAGACCTACAGTTTTTTTTCCTTTGCGTCCTCCTGACTTGCACTCTTTGCTTTGCTACAGTCATCAGTGACCTGTCTGAGTTGCGACCGCTCAAGGTACGCCTCGCAGAAAGCTTCCTCAACGGGTGGAACCTGGCTATCGCATTGGAGTGCCTCCAAGATCTTCACTGCCTTGTCCCCTTGAATGGTCTTTTGAAGTGTGCGCTTGCTCGCCTGCGCCGCTGGACATATGGGAAGTTTCCATTCGCTGAGCTCCTGCTGGGCTCTTTGTAGCTCCTCCGCACCATTGTCTAAGGTGGTCTGGCCTGGGCCCAAGGGAAGCATGCCTACTCAACAAGTGCCCACATGCCCACAAAATATGGCACGCATTCCTGCGCGCATGGTTCTTAGTTGTGTACTGGGCCCCGCACCACGTGCAAGGATTGCCCCCAACCGACTACGGATTGTTGGCCCCTGGATGTCAACATGCTGCTTTGTTGCGTGACGACTGATATACATCGCATTGGCGCACATGAGTCCGCATTCAGGGCAAGCAGGTAGAGTCCTTCACGCAGGTGTTGCGCAAGCTGTGCAAGGCAGCCCTTTTTGGCAATGGCGTGATGGTCTTAGCTCTTTGAAAAACTGGCAGTGGTGTTTGCACACACTGAAAAAAGTCTCTGGCACGCCCCGACGCAGAAGACTGCTCACCAGCCTCAGTGACCACAATGCCTGTCGTGTGAACAACTGGGCATCTTGCTGATTGAAGTGGGCCATGAAGGCTGGCCAGCCACTGAATTTTTTGAAGCAATTGTCGGCGTTGGGGCCGGCCTGCTTCTGCGTGTTGCATATGCTCATTTTTTCTCTTTGCTACGTGAGCATAGTCGTAATGCGAAAGGGTACGCTAATGTCCAAATGGGATTAAAAAATGCACGTGTACTGAAGACAAATGGGGGGCCCAAAGCAATTAATAAATGCACCTGGAGCAAAGAGGATTCGGCCACCGCCTCCTTTTGCCCTCCTTGGTCTCAAATTTGCAAACATATAGATTTGTGTATATACATTTATAACTATCCCTGGAGACACTGTTTTCTCTCATGACTTACGGTCGGTCTTAGCTCAATTGTTTGTGTTGCTTGCGTCGGGTGTTGGCTGGGTGGCCCGCTGGATAACGTTGTCGCACCCCCGCAAAGTGACGGAAAAGGGTTGCGCTTTCAGCTCGTCCTGGGCGACGGCCTTGCCAGGGCCACGACGTTGTCATGTGTTGGCCTCTGGTTGGATTTGGGTTCTCCGGGCCAAGCCCTGACTCCCTCATTCCCGTTGACCATGCATGGATGGCTGCCAATTGCCGTGGTCGTATGCTGTGTCGGCGTCTGTTGGTAACGCCAATTTTGTCGTAAAGGCCCAGTCTTTAAGCCAGATAGCTAGAGCTGCCGCTGTTATTTTCCTCAAACGTTAGATAGCTGCAACCCTTATGGAATCCTCATCCTTTTTCTCACGTGGAGTCCCGTGCCTCAACGACAAACCGCAGGTTTAGCCACCCGGGAGATGACGATTATCCAGGCCGGGGGTGAAGTTGGGATGGTGACGATTCCTCAAAAAGAGAATCAGCAACACCCTCATGCACAAAGGTCTTATTCCGCAACAAGGAAACCTTCATTTGGCAAATTAGTGGCAAGAGTTGCCAGCTGGCAAACAACACCCGTTCTTGCACTCAGTTGCCCAAATTTGACCTTTTGGCTTTCTTGTTTCTGTGAGTCCAAGGCGCAAAGGGTAACTTTTGTTCACCCCAGATGGTCGCACAGCCAAGCAGGCCCAAAAAGGTGATGTGTAATTTCGCTCTCAGTTTTTGTTTAGTAGGAGACAGCCTCCAAGATTTACTGGGAGAGGGTTCGAATTCTGCGGGAAGCTCAACACGGGCATCTGTGTAATTACACAAATACGCAGGGACAGAGGTTTAGCGAATATGTGTATACGTATATGGAGAAATGAAACAGAAAGGATATGAAAAGAGAAGTAAAACAACTTTAATTTGAAGACCTACTGAGACAGAAAGTGTCTGATATTTTGTGGTCACCATCAGCTGCTTAAGCGCTATCCCACAGACAGTTATCCTTAAAATCAGAATTATGGCTCGTAAGGGCGTAGGCTGCTTATGTAGGTAACAGCGCGCAAGTGTCGCTGTAAGTGGCGCTGTAAGTGAGAGTGCAGGTGTGACACGAAAGTGCGCTCTGATCACGGGGCGCAAACGCGTGCCTTGCTTTTTTGCTCCAGAGGGTTTCACTTACGTCTACAATAGGGAGCCAGCTAAAACATGTGTGTGTGTGTGCTCTCTGGAAGGCTTTTTCATGTCACATCATATCTTCGGATATCGGGCCCTTGAGCGCAGTGGTGGACTTCCTACATCCGCTGGCAGTTAGGCTGTGAATCCCCTATTCGCCTTGGCGCAGGATCGCGTCACTGTCTTCGTCGTCAATTGTTGGGCCAGGAAAGTGTTCCCGGCTCACGCCCGCGGCTGGAAGGTGTTACTGAAGGTCCTCAAGGATAAGTTCAAAGAGAGAAGATTTGCAGAGCGGTGTGAAGGGCGTGAGGTGACCGTTCCCGACGTGGCTGATGTACCACTGCAGTTCCGGCAGCGCAGAAACTTGCTCCTCCTCAGTGGCAAGAAGGTGAAGCAGGCCGTGCCAGAATATCATGGTCAAGGGCAGCAACCCTCCACATGGGCGAGGGCAATATTCTTTTAACAAGGTTGGCGACAACGTGCCGCGCGCGGGCGTGGTTTGGGTCGACGGTGTCTGGACTCCGTCTTGATTTGGGGAGCTCAAATCAAAGCTGGATCATTTTAGGCAGCTTCTGCGTTTTGAGCCGCAGCTTGCATCCGTTTGCTGGGTCCAACTGAGAGCTGAAGGGGCCCGCTTTTGAAAAGTTAGAGTTAGGATTCACGTGATGCATTCAGTGAGGAATAAGGCCGTTTCTCGGGTGTTTCGGTTTTTTGTTGGGGCTTTCGAAGCGTCTGAGACGTGAGTGTTTCCCTTCAGCCACGCATGGCTTGAGGCGACCCGGCGGCGGAGGTACGCGAGGCTTGGGGGAATGGCGGGCGGTTTGCGTCCAACGGTCCTTCGCGGGAGTGGATCCCTGATTTCTGTGTGTTGCGCGAAGTTTTGCAGGAGGAAAGGTGTCACATGTTACGTGCTGCTTTTGGGAGGCGGCTTTTCCCTTCAAGCCACCAGTTTTGAGGATGCCGCTTTTAATGGACGTTCCTTGCGGAGAACCACCCCCTACTTGTGATGATCAATATTTTCTTGTGTGAGAGGGTTTCGGCATGTCCTAAGCTTGTGTTGGAGATGTGTGCCTCCATGACTGAGTTTAGGGGGTCCCTCACAAATGCTTACAAAAGAAAGTTTAAGATGACAAGGTTTCCAAGCTGGAAATCTTTATCCTGGACCTGTATCTCTTTGGCTAAGCCGCGCATCTATCTGGGCTCAACATCAACAGGGGCCTCTGTTTCGCCAGCAGTTGCGAACACCACTTCGCAAAGTTAATCCAGGTAGATATGTCACTGGGGTTGGGCCAACCTCTGGTTCCAGCATGTTGAAACCAACTTTGTTTTTCTGACCCTTTATTTTTAATTTCCGCGGGATTGTTGTTGAAACAAAGTTCTGCGCCTATCCCTGGTGTTGGCCACCATCTACCCTGAGAGGTTGACGTCGGGCGTGCAGCGTCGTCGGACCCACGCACAAGGACGCATCTTAGGATGCCTAGCCAAGGTCCAAACACCATCTAGAGTCTGGGCGCCGCCCTTTGAGCAATTGTGTGTGCGGAACCTTGCCACGCACGTGCCCGCCGTGGCGCTTTGAAAGCTGCAAAAACTTCCTGCAACATTGGTTTTGCTACAAGACAAGCGCGGGCTGGTTCATTTGCATTTCGGCTGCCTTGCTCACGCGCTTGCAAATCGCTGCCGCTTGAAGAGTGGTCTGGAACCCGCCAGATCTTCGAGACAGCTCAAACGTGCTGTTCAGCGCTTCCAGGTTTACTCCGCTAGATATCGAACTGTGGCCAAACAGGAATTGTATCAAGCGTGTGGGAACAGCTGAATTGGGGGCACGGAGCAAGAGTAGATACTTGGCTGCTCAGAAAGCTCTCAAGCAGGGAGGGGGGCATTGTACGGGCATGGCTTCGTACACATGCGCAGCAGCAAAATGAACAGCTCACTCCCGGAAGCAAGTGCTGCGTGCTGTTCTCGAACTGGGCACAAGCACCAAACATGTTGCGGAGCGGCAGAACCCGCCCGTACAGCCAACGTGCCAGAAAGGGTCAAAATAATGGGCCTCACCCTCTGTGTTGAAGGATCACGGAGGCTCCAGGCACCCTTAGACACACCTCAACCTCAACCTCTGCGAGGACTTTCGACGAGGACCGTCGCACGCGGACTGTGCGCTTCGACTCCCGCTTCGACTCACCCAGATCCCCCTCAAGGACTGTTTCGCTGGGCGAAGACAGCGCTGAGCCAGCCGCGACGCCGGAGCCTTTGCTGGACAGACAGGCAATGCATGTTTTTTTTCGTGCAAACACCTGTCCTTACAACCTCCCCTGCAGCCTCCCTTGTGTTCTTTTTTGAGAGGCGTTGCTTGTTCGAACCGTTGTTTTCTTTGGCCGATCTGAAAGCCATGTGAGCCATGTGCGCTCGGGCGAGGTTTTTGGGGTATGGGAAACCCTTTGATTTTGATTCCCCCTCTTGGAGATGGCCAACTAGTGGGAACGGACTAAGCTTTTACCCCTATCCATCTGCCTGCCTATTCACATTGATTGTTCTACTTATCCATGTGCTGTACCATTTCATCCATGCATCTATCTGCACATTGAATTATTTTCCTATGTGTCTGTCCGCTTATGCATTTGTACATCTAGCCACCTTCCCGTCTATCTATACAGAAAATCATTTAACTCTCCATCCATCCACACACCCATCCATGTATCTATCCATCTAACTTGTCCATCTGTCTATCTTTTTGTTTATCGACACTTCTATGTTTTTTCTTTCTTTCTTTCTCTTTCTCTTTCTCTTTCTCTTTCTCTTTCTCTTTCTCTTTCTCTTTCTCTTTCTCTTTCTCTTTCTCTCTCTCTCTCTCTCTCTCTTTCCTTTCTTTCTTTCTTTCTTTCTTTTTTCTTTTTTGCTCCTTTTTTCGTTCTATTTTAGCGCTATGGCATGAATCATGTGTCCGACCCGCAGAGCGCTCCTTGAGCTTCAAGGAAAAGGCGCCATCCTTGCCTCTTGCCGCTAGAGAGCTTTCGATGTTGAGCGGAGCCAACTCCAGGTACGTTGCGTGGTGAGTGTTTTGGCCGCGCCCTTTTCCCGTGAGGAAGTCCATCCTGTCTGGCCAGGACACCACGCCCAAGGCCAATTGCAAGTTCTGCTCCGGAACTACGATGCCAGGCGGCCGACCAATTTGACGCAAAAGTCCACGGGGGGTCGATCGAGCGATTGAAAGTCAAAGAAGGCGGCCCGAAAGCGCGACGGGGGCCACGAAAAACGACGCCCGGCGGCCGCCGCGAACAACAAGGCGCGCTGGTGGCAACCGCGCTGGGGGCCTCGCGATGTGAGCAAGACGATCTGAGGCCAACCGGCGCGTCATCGCTGCCAGCAGCGTGTAAAACAGCTGGAAAGCATTTTTTTTAAATCTTGGGCGCGTGTTGGAAGTTGCCGTCGCGATGCCGCCCAAGCCCTTCGTCTGGTTCTTCAGGGTGATGCGATTGGAGTACGCTACCGCCGCACTACCGTTGCAGCCGCGGTAACATAGAGCTGGCAAGGCTCACTTTCTCTTTCACTTTGTCTCTTTCTGTTTCTCTTTCCATTGGCACGGCGACGCCAAGGAGAGTTGCGTGGCAGGCGCCGCGCTTTGGCAAGACCAGGTGCAGAGTTTGTGGCAGGCGCAGCACTTTCGCAAGGTCAGGCACAGATTTCAAATCAAAGCACTTTTGCAAGGTCAGGTGGCGCCGAAATCTGCAGGCGCAGCGCTTTCGCAAGGCCAGGTGCAGACTTCATGGCAGGCGCATCACTTTCGCAAGGGCAGGTGCAGATTTTTTGGCAGGCGCAGCGCCTTCGAGAGAGAGAGAGAGAGAGAGAGAGAGAGCGAGAGAGCGAGTGAGCGAGAGCGAGAGAGAGGGAGGCAGAAAAAGAAGAGAAGAGGCTACACCTACTGCTACGTGCTATGTGCTACTTGTACTGCTACTGCTACCACTACTACTAGTACTGCTACTACTACTACTACTACTACTACTACCACTACGACTACCACCGCCACTACTACTGCTGCTGCCACTACTTCTACTACTGCTGCAGGTGCTGCTTCTACTGCTACTACCCCACAGAGCCAGTTATCAACACACATGTTCCGCGTGGTTCCTGTGTGGCGAAGCTGTTGGGGGTAAGAACGCTGCGCTTCCAGCGTTCAGGTCTCGCACCGAAAAACACGCCTCACTTTGCAAGCAAATCACGGAAACCCTTCTGCCACGCGGTCAGGAATAGTCTTTTCACCCAGCAAGTGCTGTGGCCCAGGAGCGGTCTGTCTCGGATCCGCGAATCGTGAGCGTGCCCATGGCAGAGCCGGAAGTTGAGATCGGAGGCAATTGACGAGGGAATCTTTTTGTTCAAATCAACCCTGACAAAAGACGGGAGGTTTCTAAAGTGAACGGGGAAGGGAATGGGGAAAGAATCGAAATCACTCCTTAGAATGGTTGCCTCTCTCTTTCTCTTTCTCTTTCTCTTTCTTCTTCTTCTCCTTCTCCTTCTCCTTCTCCTGCTCCTTCTCCTTCTCCTTCTCCTTCTCCTTCTCCTTCTCCTTCTCCTTCTGCTTCTCCTTCTTGTTCTCTTTCTCTCTCTCTCTCTCTCTCTCTCTCTCTCTCTCTTTCTCTCTTTCTCTTTCTTCTCTTCTTCTCTGCTCTTCTCTGCTCTTCTCTTCTCTTCTCTTCTCTTCTCTTCTCTTCTCTTCTCTTCTCTTCTTTTTGTTTTTTCTTCTCTTCTTTTCAAAAGATTCTTTTCTCTCTGTTTCTCACACTTGCCTGCTACGATGTCCTTATACTTCACTGCGATTTGCTCAACCTCACACCCAACGGCAGGTCAAACAACCTTCCCTCCTACGAAGGCTCCCTCCCAACAGCAACCAACGTTGATGGGAGTCTTGGGAGGCGCCCAGATATCTTACATGAGAAGAAGCAGCCGGGCTGGTTCATGTGGTGACTATAAGAATTTGGAGCGAGCGACTTAACTTGAAGGCCCACCGATTCCTTTGAAGTTTGCTGCCATGTGCATAACGTGAAGCCCGACAAAGACCTCTCGGAAGAGGGATCTTCTTGCGGGGATGTGTGTTTTTAGAAAGCAGTGCGGGCCTGCCTGTGTCTGTGTGGGCAAAGCCCTTCTGTTTCTTCGGAGGCGCTACGAACGCTGCCAGCTGGGTGGTTTCTGATGGGCACTCTGTGGAGGCGAGAAACCTTGGCGCTTAGCTGAAAACGCCAAAAGGGACAGAGCCCCACAGGTTTGGGGTCAGTGTGTGTGTGTGTCCTTTTTGATGGCCTCCTGTCTCCCAAAAGCATTGCGAAGGGTTCTTCTGGGAAAACGGGTAACCTTGCGTGGCGAGAGCTGTAGGAGCACACGTGAGAGCGCAAGATGCACAAGAGCCCACAGGGCCAGACTTAGTTGAACTCAAGAAGACTTTAGTGGGGCTGTAGCTAAAATGAACGGGAAAACGTAAAACGGCAGAACTAAGCCCTTATTGTTGGGCCACACAAGGCCTTATTTCGTGCACGGGTGGCTTCTGCATGGATGGGCGTGCGAGCGGACGAGTGGACGTACGAGTAAAACTCGCGCGTCTCACTCGTACGTCGCCCGTCCGCTCGCACGTCCATTCGCGCAGAAACCACCCACACAGAAATAAGGCTTTATTTTGGATGTAATTTTCACGAGGTGCCCATTAACAGCCTTTCGATCACGCTTGTTAACTTTCAATATTAGGGTTGCTTGCTGAGGGGGGGTTGCGTTTAAGGTCCTGCCAAAAGCGGTTCAGGTCATTTCTGTTGAAATCATGCCTTGAGGCTGTCGGGGCATTTAAATTGTCAATTGGCCCATTTCCATTGGGCACCTGTATGTATATATACATACATATGTATAGTTATATGTATCTATGGGATCTGTCAGTTTACACGCACTGTGTTTTGTCCTTGCACGGGCCTCGTTCCATGTCTTCTGATATTTCTGGATGATGTAGTTGATGAGGCCTTGGGTAGAAGCTTGCTGTAGGTATTGGCGGACTTATTCGCATGGTACTCGGCGATGAGGGGCATGATCCTGATTGGAAATCTTCCCGTGCTGCGCCATGGGTGATGTTTGGATGAACGTGGAACACGCCAATGGTTGTGAATGGGAGGTCTGCCCTTGTCACATGGCGGCTGTCGAAGTATGTGGTCGGAGTGTCCGTGGATTTCGGAAAGGCGCCGCGCATTTCATTGTTGAACTCGGTGTGGATGACAACAATCTGAAGGCGTGCTGCTGCGACTTGTGAATCCCACCGTTCGATATCACATACGGCATCAGCTCCGAGAAGGCTGGGCCCGGGAAATTCTTTGCCGCAGAGCTGCAGAAGCTGGCGTGGAAGTATCCCAGACACTCCAGAAGGAGGTCTTGAGCGGCACCGTGGAGAAGCTCATTGCAGCAAATTGGTCTTGGTACGAGCCCCTCATGTTCGGCAGGCTTGGTTAAGTTGAAGTTCCTTGTGGCAAGTTTTCTTCAGGGGGTGAGGGCCCCTGGGCTGGGGTCGTTTGTCGTTTTGCCGGCTTGCTTTTTCGCCGCGCCTGCGACCCCTGGCAGGCGTTTGGCCCAGATGGAGGCCGCCGGGGACAGGCAAGACATCCTTGCCATTGACGGGAATTGCAAGCTGCACAGGCGCACGTGCGGAATGCCCTTTGCGGAGGTTGTGCAGTCCCCACACCTGAGCAAGCTCCTGCTTTGCGGCTGCAGTGCCAGGCCGCACGGTCGCGACACGCTCTGTTGGAAACACGCGCAGGACCGAGACCGTCAGCACCAGCATCAGGCAGAGGATATTGCCCGTCATCGCCTCAAGAGGGCGCTGCGTGCCGACGGTGACGTCTGCCACTTGGAAATCCAGATTGAGGGGTTTCGCGGACGGCGGCCAGCCTGCACAATCACAGACGAAGTGTTGGCCCAATAGGAACATACGCAGAAGGAGACAGCGCAGGGTTGAGGCTCGCGCTCAGAAGTGGGCAGGCCCTCGGCCTCGCAGGGCAAGGACATTCTTAGCGCCATGGCATTCAGCTCAGCCCCGACAGAAGAGCTCTTGCAGGACGCACAAGGAATCTGCCAAGGATGCCCACGCTGCAGCTCGCACTGCTGGCTTCCTTTTTGCCGTCACCAAGTCCGGCCTGCTCCTCGATGTCATGGAGCTGATTGGAGCTGAATCCCTTTCGCAGCGGTTTCATTTTGCGGCGCAATGTGCGCATAGGTTGCCGAGCCTCAAGTGCATCGTTCATGATGACAGCTGCCACTTGAAAGCCATGTGCCTCCGTAATTGGACTGCATCTGCTGTGGCAGCCAGGTTATCTGAATTTGATTTCATCATTGATGAGTTTCATGCTGGTGGGCATTCGGGCGAATGGTGCAAAGAAACATGCCTGCCAAGCCTGCAGCGCAACAAGTATGTTCTGAGCGGCTTCCCTACCGAGATCGCTGAATGTGCGAATGCGCAGTTCAGTCCTTTGGGCCATTGCTTTCATCATTATGGCCCTTGGTTTGCGCAACTCGTCCTCCAGGAGTTGGCAGATGTCCACAATCTCGCCCGGCTCCAGTTGCTCCAGGACAAGAAGTGCGGCTCTGAGAAGAAGCGGAAGCGGGAGATTGCCGCAAGCGCGGCTGGTAGGTGAAGACTCGGGTGGCTCGGCTCTCATGGGCGGAAAAAGTGAGACGGCGCTTCATCTTGCCAGTGGCTCTGCCTTGTCCGTCTAGCTCTGCCCTGGGCTTGTTTGACATACCGCCTTGCTGTGCTGGCGTTGCCAGTCCTTGCTGCGCAAGACACAACAGCGCAGTCATTATGTTGCACACTGTTTGACAGCTTGCGTTGCAGCAGAATGCTCGCAGGAGTAGTAATGCCAAAGCCGTAACACTGAAGATAGCAACCAATGCTTTTCATTGACCAAGCCAGCGTGCAAGCGCTCAAACACAGACACATACACACATGTCGCAGCGCCGCCACAGAACGAGCGCAACGTGCACACAAACGACCCACGAGGCGTTCGCCAGCAATGCCAGCCTCCACTCCGGAAGAGTTGAACCACAAGGCAGTCGACGCCTTGTGGAGAGCTGCGTTGGGTGTTGTGACGGACAACTTCAACGCCGCAGAGCGTCTCCCCAAGCAAGTCTACGACTTCCTGCTCCCCATCTCCGCCTCAACATGCCAGGGCATGTTCTCCACAGTCATGATGTTTGCGGGTGCCATGCCTGCACTCTCAAACGGGGCTAGCGTGCGCCTGTGGAACCAGAAGCCTAGCCCGCTGGCTCTGATGGTGCTGCACATGGCGCCGCCACAGCGTGGAAAATCGCGGCTCTTCCAAGCAGTGGAGCTTCTCTTCGAAACGGCCGATGACTTTGTGGCAAAACGTTCCAAGGAGTACGCGGATGAATTGGCCGCCAAGTTGGTGCCTCCGGTGGAAGGAGCAGGGCCCCCGGAGCTGCAAGTCACGACCAAGTCTGTTTCCCTTCAGAGCTTCACGATGACCGAGTTTTTCTACAGATGCTCCGTGGAGTTCCGAGGTCGGTGAGAAGAAAGACAAAAAGGCTGCCCGAGTATGGTATGGACAAGCGTTCAATCGCGATGAATGCTATGAGTTTCTGGAGCAAATCGGCTTGCTGGGTGCTCGAGGTGACCGCAGTGACAAGCCGTCTGGCCCTGTGAACTGCCACGCAAGCACCTTGAACACTCTCATCCAGCGGGGCAAAACCAAGCGAGCTACTCGAACCTCAACCTCTTATGAAAACTCCCGGACGCAGCGCATTGCCCTTTCCATTCTCGGCAACGGGCACCCGTCCAAGCTTATCAGCATGGGGCGTGGGTTGGAAGGCGGGCACACTGCTGCCACTCGGGAAAGGTTCCTGTTCGCGGTGGACGCGTCCATAGCAAGGCATGACAGCCTGCCGCAAGATCTTCTGCAAGCAGATCGTGAGCTCCCAGCTTGGACATGGTTGCCTCTGACTCCTTTGCAAGCAACTATCTTTCGGTGGAGTAGCCTGCTCAACAACCCAAGCCACTTTGACACCTTTTCAAGGGCAGATGATGACTCAGACGAGGAAGGGTACCCGGCTGTTCTCCCAGATGGGGTCAAATCCAGGGTTCGGTACGTTCAGACAAATGCCAACGGTGCCTTGGCGCACTCTTCGGTTGCGACGCGTATATGGTAAAACTCAGCCGCTGGTTTGTGTCCGTGTTAGACAACAAATGTGAAGCTTCTTTTGAAGCCGTTCTTGTCTGGCGCCTCTGCCAAGGTGAGTCCGTAGTGGTGCGGACAGAGTGGCGCATCAGTGGGCGCTGGCTTGTGAAGGACCAGACGGAGCACATCTACGAAGGCGCGCGCCGGGTCTGCAGCCACTTCGAGAAGAGGCCGCACTCGATCTTGACTGTGCGTGAAGACGCGCAGCGATTGCTCTTAGGTCCCGTGGATGCACCTAGTGTTGTCGAATGCTGGGAAACTAAGCTGTACTTGGTTCGCCCAGGCTTCGGGGTCTTCTCTTCCAAAATATCAGAAGTGACTTGGCCCGAGGCAACCAGGTAGCGCAGTCCATCCGAGCTGCTGGAAGCGAGGGCTCTTCCCTGGAAGCCTTGCACGCGAATGCTGCCCACGCACAAGGCATGCTCAGCGCTGCTGTTGCAATTTTGGAGATGGCTGGCGGTGGCGGGGAATTCGATGCCAGCGGCAACTTGGAAATCACGAAGGACCATGTTCAGGCAGGATGCGCGACGCGGGGTTATAGCCACCGGCCTCCGTTGGGGTTGCCAAATGCCATGCTGGGCTGGGACCTCCTTGAGGGGGTAACAAACAAACCCCTTTCTGTTGCGCAGGTGGCTGCGCGCCTTGTGGAGCTGAACCTGCAAGTCCGGGAAGTGCTGCGTGGGCCACTGGGCGCAGCTGCAGCTGCAACCGATGAGTCAGACGACGACATTTCCAAGCCCGTCTCCGTGCCTTGTCCGCCTAACTCCTTTGCCCCACCTGCAGCCACGCAAGCCGCGCCTTTCCAGAAAGATCGGGGCCTTGATGCAGAGGGGCCGCAGCTTGCAGCAGATCGCGCCGAGCATGTGCCAGTCGATGCGCCGCTCGCAGACTTACAGGAGGATGAGGAGTGGCCTTGCCCAAAACTGGTTGAGTTCGGAGGCAATCACTTTTGCTTTTTCTGAGGGCTGCGCATGCCTTTGTGAGAGATT